AATAAATAATTATTATTAAATCTAATAATAAAATACATATTTCTTACCTTAGTATTAATTTCCACACACAAACAACTATTAGTATTCACGTTTTACTTCTTGCTGGATACTGACAAACAATGGCTAATTCTGGTGTTATTTATATTTTCGTAGTATCAGACGATAATTCTAGAAATTTCCAAGTTCACCAACAAGAGATATATTTTTCCTGTTAATACGGTCTGAGAATTTTGCTATCAAAAAACTTTTACAAGTTTTGGTTTGGAATTATACTTTTATCATTTTTTCACGGAAATGCTTTTCCGGTATATTTGGTCTCGGTGTTTGATAATTTTCCTATAAATTTTAAAGTTTCAACAATTGTGGCCTGTTATCGGTGTATGTGTTGTTTAAAATTTTATAAATGTATGATACAGAATGTCCCATATTATTGCAAATCAATATCCATTTTTGTTTTTGATCTCTATGATATTTCAGGTGGTTGGACCGGTTGTTGGACGATATATGTATTGTTTAAAATTATATTTTATAAATGTATGATACAGAATGTCCTATATTATTGCAAATCAATATCCATTTTTGTTTTTGATCTCTATGATATTTCAGGTGGTTGGACCGGTTGTTGGACGATATATGTATTGTTTAAAATTATATTTATGTAGACAATATTAATATTTGTCTAATAAAGCACCTTTAGAAAGCTATTTACGTTAGTTTTTGGATGCATTTAGAACACCTTCATAAAAACAGACTTATTTGATTTATGGATCAAACTGATTAGTTTGATCTGTATCTAAACACTATGGCTTAAAAAATATTTCTAACACCATGTTTTAACGTCAATTCCTTGAATAGCATACTAAACTACACTACAAATTTAAATTTTAGAGCTACATGCTGAATGGTCACGTGGTTGACCTAATATATGTTGTACAGCGTTAATTGTAAATGCATACCTATGTTGTGTGCGTTGCGTGTAACGAAACGTAATGAAACGTAACGAAACGTAACGAAACGTAACGAAACGAAACGTAACGTAACGTAACGAAACGTAATGAAACGTAACGAAACGTAACGAAACGTAACGAAACGTAACGAAACGTAACGAAACGTAACGAAACGTAACGAAACGTAACGAAACGTAACGAAACGTAACGAAACGTAACGAAACGTAACGAAACGTAACGAAACGTAACGAAACGTAACGAAACGTAACGAAACGTAACGAAACGTAACGAAACGTAACGAAACGTAACGAAACGTAACGAAACGTAACGAAACGTAACGAAACGTAACGAAACGTAACGAAACGTAACGAAACGTAACGAAACGTAACGAAACGTAACGAAACGTAACGAAACGTAACGAAACGTAACGAAACGTAACGAAACGTAACGAAACGTAACGAAACGTAACGAAACGTAACGAAACGTAACGAAACGAAACGTAACGAAACGTAACGAAACGTAACTAAACGTAACGAAACGTAACGAAACGTAACGAAACGTAACGAAACGTAACGAAACGTAACGAAACGAAACGTAACGAAACGTAACGAAACGTAACGAAACGTAACGAAACGTAACGAAACGTAACGAAACGTAACGAAACGTAACGAAACGTAATGAAACGTAACGAAACGTAACGAAACGAAACGTAACGAAACGTAACGAAACGTAACGAAACGTAACGAAACGTAACGAAACGTAACGAAACGTAACGAAACGTAACGAAACGTAACGAAACGTAACGAAACGTAACGTAACGTAACGAAACGTAACGAAACGTAACGAAACGTAACGAAACGTAACGAAACGTAACGAAACGTAACGAAACGTAACGAAACGTAACGAAACGTAACGAAACGTAACGAAACGTAACGAAACGTAACGAAACGTAACGAAACGTAACGAAACGTAACGAAACGTAACGAAACGTAACGAAACGTAACGAATACATCAACTGTTTCCCCATTCCTTTCCGACCAATAGCAACGAACCTTGACGGTTGACAGGTCCTTTTGACTCCGCCATCTTGTATATGGCTAGTTCACGTGAACGATGATCGCCATCTGATGGATATTAACGAAGATATAAAGTGACAAGCGAGAACTGACCCTTGAACTGCGCATGTGCACATGTCATCTAGATGACATTGTCATCTACCATTTTCAACGTTCAAATCCGATCGATATTAACGAAGATATGAAAACGGCATTATGAACAGCGTATGTGTGAAATGACAACTAGATGCCATTCTCTACACGTAGCCGTTTGAATCGCTAAGGCCTTTCTGGCTTAACACAACAATTCTCTTCTACGTTAATCTATGGCATTATGAACTGCGCATGTGCGAAATGACAACTAGATGCCATTCTCTACACGTAGCCGTTTGAATCGCTAAGGCCCTTCTGGCTTTACACAAAAATTCTCTTTTACGTTAATCATTCTCTACGTAATGCCGTTTTTCCCGTATAGCTGAGATAAACGCTAAGGCCCTTGTGGCATTGCGCATGCTTTTTCTATTCCACAACGTCAAACGTGAAACGTCAGTCGTCAAACGTCAAACTTTTCGGTGCACATACCCCCATTTTTTCCCATTTAAATCGAGTGAAGATACACGCTAAGGCCCTTGTGGCATTGCGCATGATTTTTCTGTCAAAGGAGATTAATTTTTCATTATTTTTCCCTTACTCTGTACGTTAAGACCTTTTCAACGACGTATCACATGTTTTATATTTTATAAGCATGAGGGGGTCGTGGGGGTGAATCTATTCAACGTTAATCTATACCACGATCTCTACGTAATGCCGTTTTTCCCCATTTAAATCGGACCAATAGCAGTGAAGATACACGCTAAGGCCTTTGTGGCATTGCGCATGATTTTTCTCTTGTATGTTAATCGTTCTTTACGTAATGCCCTTTTTCCCGTTTAAATCGGACCACGTGATATACGCTAAGGCCCTTGTGGCATTGCGCATGATTTTTCTGTTAAAAGAGAATTTTTTTATTTTATAAGTATGAGGGGGTCGTGGGGGTGAAGGAGGGTAGGTGGAATTTTTTTCATTATTTTTCCCTTACTCTGTACGTTAAGACCTTTCCAACGAGGTATCGCATACTACGATTGATCTATTTTTCAATGAGGGAGTGGTTTGCGGGGATGAAAGGGGGTAGTTGGGAATTTTTTCATTATTTTTCCCTTACTCTGTACGTTAAGACCTTTCCAACGAGGTATCACACACTATGATTGATCGATTTTTCAATGAGGGGGTGGTTCGCGGGGATGAAAGGGGGTAGTTGACATTTTTTCATTATTTTTCCCTTACTCTGTACGTTAAGACCTTTTCAACGACGTATCATATGTACCGACCATATTTTATAAGCATGAGGGGGTCGTGGGGGTGAAGGAGGGTAGGTTGAATTTTTTGCTTATTTTTCATTGTTTACGTCAACTATTACCGCCATCTTGGATTTTCGACGTTATCATGTTTACTGATAACCCAGACTTCGAACTTCGATTGACCTTTGGACTTTTAGACAAAAATTGCTAGAATGAACCTTAGCAATTTCCCATGTTAATTTACATAAGGAATGGCCCCGAACTGTTGCTGCCCCTTTACTTCGTGAAAATGCGGTTGCTTCATCTAGGAATTGGTACGTACTTCGAATTTTCTAGAAGACAAGACAAGACATCTTGTATCGTCAAATCTGTGTTTACCATTATCCAAATAAATTGAGGATACTTGTGAAACACCTTGTATAATTGAATTAATTGTATTGATTGTTTAATAAATAATTATTGTTTCATTGATTTAAAGATAGAAATTATATCTAGAATTTGTACAAAGGTATAATAGAAATACAATAAAAACAACTAACGCAAACGGAACTGTTTACAATCATTATGGAGATTATGTTAATTTGTTTATTAATTTAGGGACCCAAGTCATTTAAAAACATTCCGTGATTTACCTTATCAATTGGTACCTATCTACTGACAATTTTAATAAAATCTCCATCCTCTATTAATCACCTATATTGTTTGTTATATAACTACCATTTAAATAATTAGTATTACAAAATTTCCATTCTTAAGGGTGAGATTACAGAACGTCTACAACTTTGCAGATCTGCAAATATGGCGGACTTACAGATGCAAGTATCAAGTTTTCGTATTCCAAAAAATATCTGCAAATTAGCAAAATTTATTGTGATTTATTGCGAATTTGCAGATATTTTTTGAAATACGAAAACTTGATACTTACATATATTATTTATTGTTTCGGCCTTTACTTGATGAAAATCCATTTAATTTTGAAAGAGTAAAACCAAATTTGGTAGATTTTCACACTTTTATTTTAAAAATAAAAATTTTTAAACAAACACTAACATGACATATGTTTCGAAGTACAACTTCTTTTTCAAATTTGAAAAAGAAGTTGTACTTCGAAACATATGTCATGTTAGTGTTTGTTTAAAAATTTTTATTTTTAAAATAAAAGTGTGAAAATCTACCAAATTTGGTTTTACTCTTTCAAAAAAAACTTACATATATGCCATATCTGCAGATCTGCAAAGTTGCAGACGTTCTGTAATCTCACCCTTAATCTACTATTTTATCCATGTGTACAAATATTTAGACATATTAATTTTTAAAATTTCCTATTCTTTGGAAAAAGAAGTATTTAAAAAGTTACAATTTATGTTATATCTGTATCCAAATTCAAACATTATTGTTTTATTAATTTTAATGCATACGATTTACGATATACCAGATTTCACATAAATATTTAGCAACTTCAAATTGTACAACATTTCTACCTTTTTTCAAAATTGCGTACAACCACATAACTGATTGTACAACTTTTTGTACAATTTTACAACCAAGAACAACACTGCATCCAAATGATGGCACCTCAAGCCATCTGCGCTTCAGTGCCGTCATGCGAACCCTACTAAGAAAAGGGAAAACAGGCGGTACCCCAATCTTGAGTCACAGGAGCTAGTGGCTGGACGCAAGCCTAATTGGAGGAAATCGGCCAGGCCCTTCAATTTTTTATTATTTATAAACTCGATAACAATTTTTGTTTTGGGAAATAAAATATCTAAATAGGAATTCTGCTTATTATTTGTTTGTAATAGTTCATGACATAAGCCATAAAAGAAGGTAGAAAAAGCTTTTGTCACAATTTAATATTTTAAAACAATGATTTATTTGCAGCGCCATCAAAACTTTTCTTGTCATATTCCTGACGTAGCTCCTTCCTCAATATCTTCCCTGAAGGATTCTTAGGAATGCTGTCGACAATCTCCACACCTCCGACCAGATGTTTGTGTTTGGCCACTTTTTCGGCCACAAATTTATTAATTTCTTCGGGTTTTAGTGTTGCACCGTGTTTTTCTACGATGTAAGCTCGCGGTACTTCCCCGAAAAGCGGATGCGGTACTCCTATGACTGCTGCATCTTCCACCGACGGGAAATCCCTGATTATCTCTTCTAGCTCAGCTGGGGCCACCTGCAAACCTTTGACCTGGAATGTAATTTGATTTAAAATAATGAATGGCCAACTTTGTAAAAAGTATTTACAGTGTGTAAATGGCTTTAGTTTACACTATTTGACACATACTTTATAAATCAAATATATTATCAAATATATTACGTACCAGATTACAATTTTTTTTTTTTTTTTTTTTTTTTTTTTTTTTTTTTTTTTTTTTTTTATCCATGGAGGAGATCGTACCTAGGCATATATGCCTGTCTTGTGTGATCCCGTCCATAAAAAAAATACAATAATAAATTGTTTTAAAAGTACAAAAAAAAATTAAAAAGAAAAACGACTCAGTAATAGGAGTAATAGGAAACTAAAGCAAGACAGGTCCAAAAAGTGAGATAGGTTTAAAACTTTCTCCTGTAGTATAGTTAAACAGAAGTTAACGCTAAAAAATTGTAAAAAATACTTGAAAAGACACCAGAAATAATGTACGTTATTTGCAGTTTTATTTAAAATATTTCAAACATATCTGGGGAAGTTTGGATCAATTCCTTGATTTCAGTTTTAAATTTAGTTAATTTAGTTAATTGTTTCGTTGATAAAGGGAGAAGATTAAACAATTTGGGGCCAAAATAAAAGAAAGATCTTTGTGTTACCGTTTTTTGAAATAGGTCTACATTCAAGTTTAAATTTGTAGTTGCTCTGGTTTTTGATGAAACCTTGTGTAGTTTATCCTGATCTCTATATACCATTTGAAGACACTGATATGTATATAATTGTCTTAAAGTAAAAATGTTTAATTCTTGATATAGTAGTTGAGTTGAATATAGTCTATCCTTTTTAAATAATATTTTAATTAATGTATTTAATGTAGTTTGCAGATTTTGTAACGTACTTTTAAAAGTACCACCCCATATCGTTATACAATACCTTAAAATTGATTCGGAAAACGAATTATAAATCATAAATAAATTGTTTTTTGAAAGAATATCTCTAATGTTATAAAATTTGGTAAACAAGACTCTTAAGCGTTTTGTAACGTAAGTAACGTGTTCGTTCCATCTTATGTGCTGGTCAATCATTACACCTAAATATTTTATTGCTACTGTTTTTTCCAAGATGGGACAGTTACATCTAGTATGATTGCATTTAGAGTCATGTAGTTTAACGTCTATTTTAGGTTGATCAGCTGTAGTAGGGGAAAAAGTAATATATTTTGTTTTTTCAATGTTTAGAGTCAATAAACTATAATCTAGATAAATTTTTATTTTTTTTAAGCAAGCTTCTGTATTTAATTTTACTTCATCCCAAGATGTCCCAGTCACTACAAGGGCAGTGTCATCAGCATAACATACAAGTTTTCCTTTAAAATGATTTATGTTGGAGATGCTATTTATGTAAATTAAAAATAGAATTGGACCCAATACTGTCCCCTGCGGTATTCCTATTTGTACTATTGAAGCGGCACTTAATGTATCCCCTATCTTTTTGGGTTCTATCTGTTAAATAATTTCTAAGTAAATCAAGTCCTGTACCTCTAATGCCATAGTTACTCATTCTGATTAATAGATCAGAGTGAGGAACCGTATCGAAGGCTTTTGCCAGATCAAGGAAAACCGCTAGGCATTTACTTGATCTATCCAAGGCGCGGATTATCGGTTCAAGTAGATTTAATGTCGCATCTTCAGTACTGGATTATTTTATGAATCCAAATTGTATTTTCGATAGAACTTTATTTTTGTCTAGGAATTTTATTAGTCTGTTTTTGACAGCTTGTTCAAATATTTTTGCAAAATTATTTATAACAGATATTGGTCTATAGTTATTCATTTTGCTATGATCCCCAGATTTAAAATAGGAGTAACTATAGTATGTTTCCATTGACAAGGTATTATTCCACTAGACAAAGAAAGGTTTATAATATGCGATAAGGGAGTCACTACATCTTTATGAATATATTTAATGAGTTTAGTTTCTATTTTATCAGGTCCTGCAGAACAGTTATTTTTTAAGTTAGAAATTAATATTATTGTTTCTGGAACCATTACTGGTTCTAAAAAAAGAGAATTTTTTATGGCATTATCAGCTAAGAAATTGTTTGGTAATTTAATTTTTTTGGCTTTAGTTTACACTATTTGACACATACTTTATAAATAAAAGCGATAATTAATTCATAGTATTAAAAAAAAAAGAATAGTTTTTTTTTCGCCGTTTTGGAACACGGTCAGAGTCAGAGAGGCAATAATCAAAGGAAATTAGTTTAGAACCCACATTCCGGCCCTCCCACCTAGTAAGCATTTTAATTGCCTCTCAGATGGTAAATACTCTGTACCTAGTTTAGCGTAATGAGTACTCTTTAGTATATCAAGAGTACTAGAAAAGAAAGGGGACGCGTAACTGATATTTCAGACAGACTCAAAGGATTGCGACCAAATATAGATCAGCCGCCATTTTTTTTGTGTCTGAGAAGCTGTGGTGTCATAAGTGTATTTTTTTAAGAATAGTTAATTAAAGACAGTGTTTTCTGTATCTGTATCTGTAACGTGTGGAGGATGGGTTACCACCATGGCACTTAGGCCTCACTATATCCATTGTGCACCCTCCTAAAGTGATAGACACCTTCTAGCTCGTGAGCCAGCCCACAGATTTAATATAATTGACAGCGTCGCCAAGATGTGTTTCTCTTATATCGGCTGGTGTTAGCCAATACTCGCCGAAAACAAATCAGCTATAAAATGAGAGTGTTAAGCAATCGTAAAGGGTATGGTATCATCTTGTTCACACCCTCTGCAGAGTGCGGATTCTGATAGCCTCATGATATGGAGATGCTTCCGTACTAGTCAATGATTAGTCAGAATGCCTGTGACTAGGCGCAGATTCTGTCTAGTTGAAATCAAGTATTTGTTTGCTGCAGTGTTGTCAGGATAACTTAAGAGGTCCCTGGCAACTCTGCAGTTTCTTGTTTCATCCTATCCTTCCTTGAATATCACAAGGAAATGTTCTTTAATTAGGTCTGTGACTACCGATTTTGTCAGGCCAATAGAAAGGCCAGGTCCAAAAAGTATTTGTTTGGCTGCTTTCTTGGCTAGTGAATCAGCAAGACGGTCACCTTTCGATGTGGCGTGACCGTTGATCCATCTTAATTTGACCACTTTGTTGATGGATACTTTGGCCAAAGCTTCGTGACATTCTAGTACTAACCCTGAGTAAATTTGTGGGCTGTTAAGGGTGAGTAGTGCTTATCTGCTACCTATATAGATGAGTATGTTCCTTCCAGTAATATTGTTTCTGGTGATTTCCTTTGCTACTATGAGAATCCCCATTAGCTGTATTTCAACTACTGCTTACAGACCATTTTATGTTTACGTTTAAGAATCTTGAGTATATTTCACATCTTGAGCCTTGTTTTGTTTTAGAACCGTCGGTGTAGATATGAATCGTACCTGCCACTTCCGGCTATTTGTTCTAGTATAACTTTAAATGGCTTATGGAAGATATATCTCGCTGAGATGGAGTCCATGTTCGCATGAAGCAGTGGGAGCGTATCGAGCGCCTCCTGCCAAAAGCGACATCTCGCCTCATCAGATCCTACATCAGGTTCTGTTCCAACCATGCGGAAGCATGGTATTGTCGTCAGAGCAACCTCCTTGATGTAAATATCAAGGGGAGTGAGACTAAGAATGACTTCCATAGCTCTGGTCGATGTTGTTTTCATGGCTCCTGTTATGTTGAGACATGCTGTTCTTTAAATTTGTTCCAGTTTACCGATAGCTGTTAATTTTTGAGTTTTTGGTAAACACAGTGTTATTTTTAATTGATTACATTGGTGTGTTCAGCTTAAGGCTATAAAAATTAAAATAAAAAAAAGGAAGAAGGAATTACAGTTCACAGGTGAAATATATTTATATATTATAGTAGTAAATAATACGACTATAAGACTATAAATATTTTGTAAATTAGTTAATATTTCAAATTAATCATATTAGCATAGTTTTTATTGTATTCACTTTGGGATTGTTGGGATGACATCTTTAATTTCGTAAGAGGATATTTTTTTCAACAATGGTTCACATAATTTATTTATATACATATTTTCATTATTCATTGTCTGTTTTAGATTTCCTCAGAAGAATCTAGAAATAAATAGCGTTTGGGTTATTATAACCGAGACATTGTTTATTAAATTAATTTCTGGTTATGCCACTAGTCTAAGATTAATACGTTAGCCAACAAATGGCTGTTTTACTTTACCTTTATTATTTCTTTAAGTCTGTCCGTAACATAAAGAAGTCCTTCGCTGTTATAGTACCCAATGTCTCCGGATCGATACCAGCCATCCAAAAATACTTTTCGAGTTTCTTCGGGTTTATCCAGATAACCTCTCATAAGTTGGGGCCCTTTTATTAAAATCTCGCCAGTTTCACCTGGACCCAAAGGTGTACCTAAAGGGTATATAAATATTAATTTGTGTGTGACATAAATATATTATGTTTATATGAATAAAAATATCTATTACCTGTTTGATCTTCAATTTTAACCACTTTTATGCGTGTACTTGGAATGGGAGGACCACTAGAACCCTGGTACTTATCCAATTTATCGAAAAGTTTTTTATTTCCTAGGGACGTTACCATTCCAGTGGCTTCAGTCGCACCATAGCCTGCAATAAACAGACTAGTATTACCGTATTGCCAGTCGCAAACACAGCAAATGCAGATCTTGCAAAGATATAACATTGAGGCCGACGACGTTGCACTGCAGGTGCTGCTGAGACGTAATTCAGATGTTTTAATGTTATATTAAATTCTTAAATTTTAACATAGCAGTTCCTAAACCGCTCCTGTGCAAGCCATTTGTGTTTAAACCAACGCATTTTATAAATACCTATATTCCATCCTATAAATGACAATGTCACCTTATTCTAATGCAGCACAAATAAGATATATTTTCTGCAAACGTGATAAATGTCACGTACGCGAAGAATCCAAATTGTATTCTAGTATATACTCTATCTCATGCATCACAGCATCTCTCTCTCTCTCTCTTCTACTCAATAGAATTTGAAAAATATTTTCTGACGAATTTCAAGTGCTAATGTAATTCTAACCAGTTAGACAAGCTCCTTCACATACAAGAACCAACAAGTACAAGTAACCGGATCTCTATTACTTTCCACGGAACATCAGCGCTCGACACACTCACTCCAATTTCAAGCTTCGACACGACAACATGCCTTAGTGTCGTTATCGCTAAAAACTCACTTTTTCAACCTTCAAATTAATTCACTTCGTTTTACAAATATAAACAATATTATAGCAAGAAAAATATATTTGGTTTAATTTTTAGATTTGCAATTTAAATGGCTTTATCATTATTTGTTTCATTTATTTTTTCTATGCTTTTTTATTTGCTTTTTTCTTTGATTTTTTTGTAATTGCTTTGTTTGATAAATTAGTTAGAATTTAAAGATGGGCTTATGCCTTTATTATTTTAAGAACATAGATTTCCGTTGTTCCAAAATGATTGTATTATAGTTGCTCATTGAGTTTCAGAAATTAGGAAATAATATTAATGCAGCTAAGGTCAACTCGGGGAAGTGCATACCTTCAATTTCAAAGATAACTTTAAAATCAAGATAAATACTAGATATCATCGTACTATATAGTTTTTAAGCATACTTATATTTTTACAACCTTAAGTAATGATAATCCGAAAGTATTTTTACCTGAAAATTTGGATTTATTACAAAAAAAAATAAATTGGTCGCAATCTCACATAAAAGCACTTACCCCAGTTTATGAGGCAAGTGCATTTCAGACCTCTTTCTTTCTATTTAGATGCTTATGATGATTATGCGAGGCAAGAGCAAAAAATATGTAAAATTTCAAATCAGTCAGTTTCTGCAGAACTTAATTATCTGTAATATTAAGAAAGATATAGTCAAATTAATATTTTGGTTTTAAATCTTAAGATTTTATTAGAAAAATTATTAAACATAAACTTTTAGAAAATATTTAGAATACAAAATAACTTTATTAGATACTTTTAACATAACAAATATTTATTCTACGACTGGCACATGGTCCTTAAATATATAGCGGCCTTTAGAATCCATCTCAAAGTCCGAAACATCTGTATTCATAATCTCATGCATTGGGACGGTGTCTTGATCAGTCTTTTGGAACTTGAAAGTTTTTTCTCTTTATCTACAGAGCGTAAATATTTAACAAAACACTCTTCTAAATCATATATTTCTTTGATTGCTCCTAGGTAAATTTTCACAGTTTTTTTGGTAGATTCATACTTGACTAGAACGAAATCCCCTGGTTTTCTTGGCACAACCGAATCTTCACAAGGATCTTCTTTATTATTGGAGTCAGGAACTTGATCAACTGTTTCAAACGAATAAATACCAGTTTCTGCAACTTTCAAAGTTATTGATTCGTTTGGTTTTAAGAATGGAACCAGATTGTTTTCGGGATCACTAATTTCCAATTCTGTCTCGAGATGGATTGGTAGGTTGTCTATTTCAAACTCTGTTTCAGTAGGTATTTCTTCTCCAAAATCTTTATCAGATTCGTCAATGCGTATATTTAATGGCAGTTCTTCCTCATCAGAGGATGATGACAATTCAAACTTCGATTTTTTCTTCTCATTCTCTTTTGTCTTCTTTGGTTTTTATTCTTGGCTTTCTGTTCCTTTTTTGTTGGTTTTTTTTTGTTTTCTTTCATAGTTTTCTTTTGCTTTTTGGTGTCCTCCTTGGTTTTTGAAATTTTCATACACTCCTGAGATGTGATGACTTTTGACCCTAAACAAACTTTGGTTTTCTTAGCTGGCGGACCTCTCTGATTATGGGACGAACTAGTTGAGAGTAGCAATTTTTTGAAAGTATCGAGAGAGTTCTGAACCTGCTCTAGGTTGCTTCCCGGTGAAGTAGCGTCATGAATTTTGACGGCTTTAACCTGGTCATTTTGATCTTTTTTAAAACCTGAAACCATATTAGTTTTAAGTGGCAAGAGATGATCAATTTCGGATGCTTTAACTTTGTCCATTTTGGGTGCTGCAACTTGGTCCAGTTCGGGTGCTACCATTTGATCAGTTTCGAGCTGGAATGATTTCCATCGTTCCAAAGATAGTTGGTCAAAATTTTCTTCAGGAATGATATATTTATTAAACGGAAAGATGCCAGCTTTCCTGAATCTACTTTTAATAATGTCCGTATCGAATTTTTTCCATAGTTCTCTTATTTTTATCGTCAATGATCGTTTAGAAATTTTCTGACAGCCTTGTTGTCTCAACCTTTTGCAGAAATACTCATCCCACGATGATTTAATGGACTTGAAAATTGCCAGATCGAGGAAGTAAATGGCTTGAATGAGGAGGCCGTAAAATAATTGTCACGTGGTTTTTCGCAGCCAATTCCACTAATTTTAAACCAATGTGAGTTGCATGACCGTCGTAGATGAGAAGAACGGGATTACTAGGGGACGGCTTTGCTGCTTTTACAAAAAAAAGTTCAAAATAATTCAGGAATACAAAAGCCTCCATCCAGCCATTTTGAGTAACGGAAAATGTTGAATCGGGAAATCCTTCATCTTCGTTAGGAACCCATTGGTTCCAAACGGTTTTTCCTTTGAAAATAAAAAATGAAGGACACTTGTCTTCAGTTGCACTACAAGCCAGTAGGACAGTGGTGTTTTCCCTGCCAGGGCAACTAACGGTTCTTGTAGCAGGCAGTCCTTTTCCTCCTACTATTTTACTTTTAGACGGATCGTGACTAAATGCCGATTCAGCAAGGTTCCAAACATTTTTTGATTCAATATTGAGTTCTTCCTAAGTTAGTTTTAGTTGGTCAAAATAATTGAATATTACAAAAGGATTGTGGCGACATCATAGCACCACATAGTCTTACCTTTAGTTTTGACTTTTACGTCAATTTATTTTAAGGTTTCTTAGTCAGTTTTTATTTGAGGTTGGTCAAGTGTCAATGTCAGATGGTACCATTATAATAACATCACATATATTATGATCTTGGTCGATAGCTGCGTACACTAGCACCCTACTTATCCGATGGATGGTAACCAAGGAAAAGGAAACAAAATTATTGATTACTGATTCGAAATTAAGAAGAAAAGACATGACACAAAGACGCGACATTTTTTAAAAGGACATTATTATTAAGTTATCATATATATTTGGATTTTTTAAAGTTAATAAATTATTATTTTTAATATTCAGATGAAAATTATTTAAATGGAAATTGCTACCTACAAGGATCTTGAGCTTTTTTTCGGGCAACTTCCACATTTTACGGTTTTTTTAAAGCTTAGGCGTTGTCTTTTTTTAAAACCTGCCACCACTCTTCTCCAGGAAAGTTATTCTTGAACGGGTTTGGGATCTATTCTTTAATTATGTAGTCCCTCACCAGTTGTAAAACGTTTTTTTTTTGACAAGCCGTAGCCGCATTTTTCCATTAGTTTAATGAGTCTACCCAACTGATCTTCAGTTTCTGAAGATAAAGCTGTCGGTCTCCCAAATATTTTTGACTTCAGACCCCTTCTGTTTTTAACATAGTCAGTTATGGTAGGTTTTGGAATAAAATATCTTTCTGAAGCCTCTTTCAATGTCAGTCTTTTAGATTTTACGCCATCAACTGCAATTTGGAGGTCTTGAGGGGTATAACTTTGACCTTTATTCGTTTTTCTTTTGTAAGTGCGCACCATTTTGGCTCTAAAAATCAAAACAAAAGCACTTTCATAAAATAATTTAAAAAAGCGCCAAAATTAGACAAAGGGGGAATTGCCTACGCGTCTGCACTTTCCCCATAGTGTAAAAACGCACTTGCCTCTTAACCTATTTTGGAGGGGAAAGAGCATATTTGCTAATTTTTTGCCTAATATGATTAAACATTGTGAAAATAATATCAAAAATTAAAAACGCGATTTAAAATTAAGCGGCTTACCATATTTTGAAAAACAAAAATTTACTTTAGAATGGAAAAAAAGTACAATAAACGGAGCACCACATGTGTAGAATGAGATGCACAAAGCTTGGTCACGTGAGACGCAGTGTAGCCAAACTAATTATCACACTAAGAGAAAGTATCCAAGGAACACACAAAAATACCCACTGCTGCATAAAATGAACCGTTATTATTATTAGAGCAGGAAAATGCACTTCCCCCGAATACGCACTTCCCCAAGTTGACCTTATGTATTGAAAACATTCATTTCAGTTTTTTAACTGCATGTATACCATTATTTCTTATTTTTTAGTAAATATGTAATTCAAATAACAGAGCTTCAACTTGTTTTCATATAAATGTCCACTGCTTGTGCTAATGTGACGGTACGCTATCAAAATTGCAGGGGTATTAATACAAAACTTTTTTATAACAATAGTCAGGGTAACGAAGAAGATATTATTATTGCTGTCGAAACATGGTTAAAGGATGAGGTAAGAGATGGAGAAATATATTTTGGATTTTATGGAAAAGGGGTCCCTCTCTCAAGGTTGAAACAGATCCACCTATACCGATTTGGACCGATTAATAAACAGAAAAAAATCTACACAAAAATTTACACCAGATACATAATATCATTGTATAGGATATTTATACAATGATAATATTGTATTTATTCTGTCCTAATATATTATTTATAATATAAAATTAGTGATCGACATTGATCACAAAGGCTTGTATCTGTACAACTCTGAGGATGGTCTATACTCTAGAACACTTAGGCCTTAATGAATCTATGTGCGTCTTACTCAACTGGCTTTATCCTTAGTTACTTTCTATTATATACGAAAAATTACAAACTTATTTATATAAAAAATATTTTATAAAATCAAAATCTTTTAACAACCTTGTACCATGTGGAAGGCATGTCCAACTTTTTGTTTAAATTTTTTTTCGTCAAGGATTCCTAAAGGAGCAGCTCCGCTCAGTACGAATCTCAAAGATTGCAAGTCTTCTGTTTTAACTTCTGGATGGTTTGTCAGAAAAAGTACTAAAATAGATCAAATTAATTTATAAAATATTAAAAATGGCAACTTTATAAATTTCTAGCAGACTTAAGTTACTAAAAAAAGTGTCAATCATACTAAAAAGTGAATAGGGTGGGTATTGTAGGAAACAGACACCTAGAAGTGGGATTGAAAGAGGTTATATAGAACAATATAAACCTTACCAATTGGTGGCACAATATACATCATACTAATATTGTAATTTCGCAATACTGATATGAATAGTTGTGGCGTGAATTTAGGAAAACTTAACAGCCTCATACCAGTAGTAAGGCAATTGAGTTGCAGCATCATGAACCCGTAAATGTGATACATGGGTAGGATGCCAGGAACCATGTCTTGATGGTTATCTAAAAACCAGATAATATTACAATAAATTATTTGCTTCGTAGTACTGGAGAAGATGTAGAAGAATGATGAAGCATTGATGTTGTGATGGTAGATGTTGAACAAGCGTCTAGAAGCAACTACCAAAGTTTGCAAGGCGGCAAAAGACGATATATTTACCTGTAGGTGGTTCCATCATTTTATAGTCAGGATGTATGGTTTGAATTCCCATTGCCACTATATTTCTCTGTGTGATTTCAACACCTTTTGGCACTCCAGTAGTACCGCTAGAATACGGAAGGAAAGCTAGATCTTCTGCTTTCCTGGTAATACCGATTGAAAAGTCTAATGTCGTGTTGATTAGTTCTTCAAAATTTATACACCCTTCTGGTAAACTGTCGTTTTCCTATGAACAATACTGTACTAAATCGGTTAAAATAAGAGCTTGAACAAACACAACGTGTATCTTAAAAGATTTAAGAGAACAACAATCATTAGTGCAAGATGAATACTTTGCTTTTGCCACTACTTAATAATTTATATCAGCGATAAACGAGACAATGCTTAATTTTTAAAAAAAAGTTAAAAACAGAAAAGTTAATATGCATACTTTATTTTTAACACTTATTATCGGCAGGTCGTTTTTATTTTGTTGAAAGGCTTTTTTAACTTCGCTGAAATTCTGTGGTTGTGTTATAATAACTTTAGCAAATGAGTCAGTTAGCTGCTTGGATATTTCATCTGGAATTAAAAAAAATAAATTAATGCTTGGCGTATTAATCGTTTAGACCACTGACGAAGACAAAATACAAGTATTTGAGAATTATCTCACTCACCTGCTTTGTACATATGATTTATTGTAGTTATAATTAATTCTGCTTCTAGAATGCCCAAACACGCTACGAAAAAGTCTGGAGAATTGGACATATAGATCGCTACCACGTCTCCTGGTTCTAAATTCCAATTTTTTCTTAACGCTTTACTTAAATTTCCCGCTTTTCTTCTGACTTGCTCGAACGTGTATTTTTTACCTGTATCTACACATTCCTAAAAATTAATGGTATAGTTGCTAGTGTATAGGTATTTATGTCAAAAAGTGAGAAAGTGTTCCTAACAAACACATTTGATAACAAAGAAACTGGCGATTACCAAATGTGTCCAAAATTTCGGAATTCGTGAATAATTATGTTATTAGCTATATTGTCAAGCTAAACAAATATTACCCTATACACAAAATATACATATTATACTTTAATATACATTTGTTAAATTAAATAACTGAGCATAATATTTTGATAAACATTAGATGCAATTCAAAAGTACGTCCTAGATAAAAGTAAATATAACATTAGACTAGACACGTTGACTTTAATTGATTAATATAAATATCGGCTTGGTAAATAATAATGACACCATAGTGGGGAGAGGGGTTAAGAAGAAGACTGAATGAAACGGTTGATAACCTGTCTCAACCATATATGAAGAATGTGTATAAATAGAGGCACAAGTTGATTTTTTTTGTATTAAACAAATATAAGAAAATAAATCCTGAAGAAATAAGGCGTACAGGGATATACGAAATGAAGATTCTGTCGATAGGTAAAACGACACAGGGTTCATATGTAGAGCCCGAGTGAAAGTTTTGTGGAAATATAATCCAACATCTGTCGTGGTATTAGCCAGAGAAGTAGTTGTTTTTTATTTAAACAAAAATCACAGGGTGTAGTTTATTAAGACATTAATAAATGATGAGAGAATATAAGAGTAACAGATATTTTAAAAGAGTATAAGAGTTAAGATACCTACAGGCGATGCATGTGAGAAACAAACTGAATTACTTTTTTGAACTTACCTTACCTAAATGCAAGTAGGGTTAAATTATCAAGAAAAATATAAATTGTTTTTTTTTGAGTGGCAGTGAAAATTTTTTGTTTACGAGTCAAATCAGCATTACTTCTACAAAAAAGGTCAACATTCTCAACCATCGGTATTCAATTTCACAACAAACACTTGCCGTAGAATAATGTAAATAGATAACAAAAATATTCTTATTACACTATTATATAAAAAGAATATTTTTTATTGAAAGAGACGATCTAAACATAGTTTATAAATAAAAACATTATAGTGTATACGGGGGAAATAATAGAAATGACATTTTTTTAGTTCATGAATTTTTCTAGTGGATGATAAATTACGTAATTACGAGGAAATATTAAAATAAGTCCAATATATAAAGTTATCTTTTTTAAATAATATATAAACACGGCGGGGATAATAATATATATAGTTTTAAAAATTTTTTGGTATTGATAAAGGCAAACCACTAAAAAGTTAATAATAAAATTGTTATAAGGAGAAGATGATGTAAAGGGTTTGCCATTTATTCAATTTAACCTAAGTTAGAAATAGGATTATTTTAGATTATTTTTTTCTCATCTTTATAAATTTACATAAAGTCTACCTGTAGTTTTTTCTTCTTTGCATATGTGCCCACACTTCCAGTCAAACTACACCAGCCAAACAAACACAATCCAGCCAAACGGACACAGCCACCCCTTGAGCTAGCCCTAAGAGACAGATACCGAATGGATCGCAGTGATGAGACAATACCGGTGGTATAGTCTTGGACAAACAACCCAAGTCGGCAGTTGAATCAACCACCAAAGCAAAGTGATTGCTAGCCCAATAGTCCTGATCAAACAACCTTAGAGACTAATTGAATGATCGCCAACTAATCTAGCACCGAGTAAACTGTCTACAACCCAGTTTTCCATGCTACCAATCATTTATGTTCTTCACTGTTCAGCGAGGTTGAAAATACAAATGGAAATGTCCCAATGGAACCACGGCCTGGATCGCCCCATTCAACCATTGGAACCACGGCCTCCATGTGCAGGCGAGACACACGTCGCAGCTCTCAACCGAGTAGCTGTCATGACTACATTCGAGTCTACAAGGGCTAGAACAAGCCACGCAGCAGAAGAAGAGGATATCCCGTAGGGCTGGATGTACATGTGGAATGTTCTGCTGTCGGTGATTCGGTAAAATTGAACTAGTTCAGGTGTGCGGACTCACAAAAAATTGTTCGACATAATAAAAATTTAAGGAACTTTTTTTTATTATTATAATTTATTCTATAGAGGAGATATTGTGTTCAAATAATTTTTGTTTAGCTGTTAAACATTTTCCATTTAGGGTAGATTTAAGGAAAAAGCTCGGGTCGAGACTTTGGCCGTCGGGGGACATGTCACGTTAAACAAGTATCACCCTATATATAAAATATACATATTCTACTTTAATATACATTTTTTAAATTAAATAGTAATATTTTATATAATATTTTAATAAACATTAGATGCAATTCATAAGTACGTCCTCGATAAAAGTAAATATAATATTAGACTAGACACGTACTGACCTTAATTGATTAATATAAATATCGGCTGGGTAATCAATAATGACACTCTTGGTCGGAGTATCACCCTAGACTCTCTGCTGGAGTCTCATCGGGTACTCTTAGTTTGAGTCTCATCATCGTCTCGCATCCCAATAGAACAAGTGACGTGCCCTTGTCGCCTTTTAGATGTTTAGCCCTTGGTAAGACCTCTTATCTTTAATAAATTGTTAATTGTTGTTGCTCTTTTATTTTCTCCAAGTCAGGTAGCACATAGAGTCACTATTTAAAGTGACTCCATCACAATCGAAAGGCCCGTGACAATATACAGTAATGTTGGCATGATTAAACCTTTGGCCCTTCTGTACGTCTTGTATTGGAGTGAGTATTAATGGAGCTCGCACATGCAAAACCTGGTATGTAGTCCTCCTTTTTTACATTAAGACTCATATGTTTTAAAATATAAGAAAAGAACCTTTTAAATGGCTGTTATCTATCAGGATATAATTCTAAATAAGTAAGCTGCCCGTGTTTCATTCCTATTGCAACTTATACAGGGTGGATATCTTAACTGGAATAAATTCGATAGCGGGAAGGTTAATATTTTTTCTAAAATTTCCCGAGAGACATCAACGTTTTAATATATTTACCTACATTTTGCAAGCAATTTGAAAAATATAGCCCTTCGGGGGTAGCTGAAACCACCCGCAACATGTTTTTTTTTTAAATGAAACCCTGTGGCTTGTGATCCTTCATTGCAAAGCTGATGGAAAGAGGAATCCATCGTACTTATCAAATTTTAGTTTCTAGTGCGTTTTGGGGTTGCATAAAATCGAAACGTAATTTAAAAGTTTAATTTAATTTCAATGTAACAAGTGCTCAAAATGTGCATCATTGACTTGTTGGCAGAATCCCAGTCGGTGGTATGTTTCGTCTCTTACGTTACGCAACATTTCCGATGTTATTTTATTGATTTCCTCTCTTATTCTTACCTGTATACGTAAATTAAATCCGAGCCACCCTGTATATATAAATGTTTGTTCGAAATTAGGCAAATTGAAATTAAAAATTGACCTTTTTCGGGAATTTACTTACTTTCCTTACTTTAGGAAATTTATACGAAACTTGGCAATGTTGCCGAAACCATTGACCAACTTTAATAACCCAAATTAAAACTGTAACCTAATTGAAACCACTGGCTTATGACACAGTGGCTAGTATTTAAAAATAAATACAAATAAATATAAATAAAAAGAAAAATATAAAAATAAATGACCCAATTTTGAAAAACGTTCGCCATCACTGGTATAAAATGTACAAATGGTAATAAAACATTTAGTAAGTCCTATGATTTTTATTAGTATCAACCCAACTAATCTTTTGCTTCAGAAACAGTGTGGAAAATAATAAGGACCCTGTTTAGTAAAATACACTTTCGTCTACTTACAACAGCTGTGTACTTGTTAAAAGGTTCCATTTTGGAATAAATCCATTCTGTAACAGTACATTCCGGTATAACAATGTCCTGACTAGGACTAAATATAACATTTTTACTAAAAAGTCTTTTACTTAAACGCACTCCGTATATGTTTCTCAATAAATAGGATTTGGAGACAGCTTTCTTTACAACCAACATGATTTAACTAAATAATAATGCTTATCTTAATTTTTATTTAAATATACATCGATTATTTAGATGTTTATTTAATTAATTTTTTTTATTATATCTTAAGGTTAACCATATGTTGTAACAGAACCATAGAAAATGTTATCACAATCAGTGCAGTTCTTAAAAATTTAAATTATAAAACTTATCTTTCAGTATAAATTGAATAAATAATATATTTTATCTTTAATCTAAAATGCCCTAATTACTCGTAATGACAGAGGAGCTACAAAGCTGGGCGTAAATGAAACCAATATTTTTGTTGATCTTTTTTTGGAGCGCAAGTGAGCCGAAAATAGTGATGCCGCGAGATGCGAGAATATCTTGCGTCTCGCCTCAGGGCTCCGCGGAGCACACTTTGAGTAACACGGATATAGAGAATACAGGGATGATGAAAATTCATCATTGCTGTCACTAGAGGAAGATGCACATTTTGTTCGGACGATTCTTTTAATTTTTTTCCCTATTCGGTAAGTAGAAATTTTTCAAGTTTATGCCTTGGATCTAGGACCGAGGCAGCGCAATGTACCCAGTTTGTTTTTGTAATGTTTTAGCATTTTGTCGCGTCCTGCTTGAAATGCATTTATCATATTTTCTTCTAGTGCACCCCTATTTATTTCAGAATCTATTATATGTAAAGAAATTCTAATAATTTATTTAACAATAAATTAAAACCCATTACAACCAATGGTAGCGTAGGGTATGTTTCACCACATAAAGTTGTGCTGAGATATAAAATATTTCAAATATTTTAATAATATTTCCAATAAACGCCATTCATCATCAGTCAAGTTTAGGTCTTTGAAAGTTTCACTAGTATTGTATAAACCTAGCAAAGCTTTTCCATTACCACTGGTCTTGATAACATATTACAGTAAGTATTTAGTATTAGTAGCTTCACATAAACTTTTAAGTTAGTTTTGGTTTCGATCTGATTTTTTAATTTTTTTTAAATAACATTGAAATTTTTAATATAGTTGAAGGATTGCTTTCTAAACCGTTATAGTCATCCTCGTCATCAACTTTGACACCGTGAATTGCGACATCCAAGAAATACATTTTTAATATACGTTTTATTAATGTGTGGTTCTTTCTGCGAGGCGAGGCGAGGCATGGCGAGATTTTTCGCAAAAACCCTGCGTCTTGCGCGAGGCGAGAGTCACTCTTTTCTCGTTTTGCGAGGCGAGGCGAGATTAGTTCCAAATCTCGGCTCGCCTCGCCTCGCGGCATCACTAGCCAAAAATGATTGTGAGCACAAATGGACCTGGCGCAATTGGGCCTGCCCACGTCCTTTTTATATGTATGTGCCCATCTTTCTAATGGGTTTATCTTTACGTGTTTACGAACCCTTCAGATTAACAGGTATTGGGTCCAGATTCGAACTGACCCAGCCAACTACCGACTGCTTATTTATGTAGGCATTTCTAAAATTATGTCGATTCCAACGACCTGTCCAAATGGCTACCAGTGGGATCTGACAGTTTAGATATAGCAAACCTGTTGGCATGTTGTTAATAACAAAGTCATTGATACATACATAGTTATATATATTGCTCAAAGCGGGTCGTTTGCGAGCGGCCATATTGCCTGGCAAGTGTTTATTAATTTGAATCGGTTAAGCAAAAATGTGTTTTAAACTCAATTTTAAGCCGTTCAATATTTAAAGAAAAATAATTGCCTACATTTTTACTTCAAGGCATAAGCTTATATTTACTTTTAAAACCATGGATGATCAATCTATGTAACTGTCTATATCATTGACCCTATCAAACCACCAAGCTCACAGTGTTGCCATATTATAACCTGTCATGTGCCTGTCATTTCAAACGGGCAGTCATTTTGTTTGGAATGCCTAATAGTCACATACTTTGATTAATATACGGTGCAAGAGAGAGGTCCGACACGCCCAACATAGGGCGCGGCCATTTTGATTCCTATGCCACAGTTTATAGCTAAAGAATCAGATCGCTCACTCTGCGTCGGTAATTTTGATCTCAATGTTCCAGTTTATACACTGCGCAACTAGGATAATACAATATTATGACAACCGCCTATAATAAAACAGCAGTTTTCTGCGTATCCTGAATTTGTATCCCTGGAGTGGATGTTATTTTGGAACTTTCAACTGATCCGAGTGAGCTAACTGATTCTTTAGCAATTAACTGTGACTCCAAAAATAATATTCACTTACACTGACAGCAGCAAGCAAAATATCAGGTGCGTTTTAATCATCCGCTTCTGCTTCCGGAATTGTCGGTTTAGTCGTTTTAACCTGTCAGATTAAAACAAGAAAACCGACAATTCCGAAGCAGAAGCGGATGATTAAAACGCACCTATTAAAAATATTGCGCCAAGATGTAGGCAACACGTAATAAGGGATCAAAATGGCGGAGTTTTCTATCTTTTTAAAAGGCACTCAGAAAGCTGCGCAGTGCGACCATTCTCCGTATAGTAACAGAAAATCAAAGTATGTGCTAATAGTTGAATGACGATTGACCTGACTTTCTTTTTCCATGTTTCCTAAGTCATGTGTCACATAATTTTATGAATTTTATTATAATGGATAATGAGTAAGATTCTGTAATCGTTTCCAATTTGTTTAATTAGGTGTTTTTTTATGTAATTTTTAAATTAAAAATAAAATAATTTTTTTGAGTGAATAAAATTATTCAAATAGTTTTAATTTCAATTTTGCCAAAAATTTGGATTTTAAGTGCATTTAGGATTTGTGATAATAGTTCCCAAATAAGCAGGTTTATTTACAGAGTACACAAATATAACCTACTACGGTTTAGTACACCATTTATTATAATATTAATAATAATACTCTTCCTAATTCACCTCCTTATGACTGTATTTTTACCCCTTGAGCTGAGCTTGTCAGGGAAAGGGACGGTCATTATTATTATATGCCGTGACGCTCTGGGTAGACTTAAATATGCCATTTGTCTCACAGGTGCAAAAAATTCAGAAAACCTCACCCACCATCATCGAAACGGTAACGCATGGCGATTTTTATAATCTGGATGTCATATCAACAGAAATTAAATTTTCTGCTAATATGGTATTTATCAAATCTATAGAGAACCATGCAAATAAATTCACATTGTCTTCTGTAGGATTCGAAGCCACAAAATTGTTTGCAAATGAATGCGAGCGCGTTAGACACCTACGACACCGATCCGATTTGGATCTCACGATGAAATGGAAACTATTTTATAAAACAAATAATACAAAATATAAGAGTATATTAAAAAAAATTGACACAAGAGTGGCTCCAGGTCATTTCAAAGAAAAGCTGTTTCGAGGGGTGGGTTGGCATTGTCAATAATCATTTCCTTTTCAACATATTTTTTTTAAATAAAAGGCTCATGGATTGTCTGAAATTTAACCTTAAGAAAAGGGAGAATGGCCCCATTGATCCCCTTCTAGAGGCATGGTATTTGATAATCAAAGTTTCTTAGTTTCATTGCAAAAAAAAACCTCACAACTTTGCAGTTAATAATTAATTAATAAAATGGCACATTTGAATATTTAAATATTTGTTAATTTTCCAAATACAGGAACAACTCAACAAATCTAAACCCAACAACTTTGGAGTTATTAATTAATTATTAAAGTGATACATTTAAATATTTAAGGATAAAAACTTTTCTTATCTGCTTGTTAATTTTCTAATTACAGGAAAAGCTGACATTCGCGTTTACAGATACTGTTCAGGACGAAAGTCCCGAGAATCACGTCGTTAATTTAGGCCATTTTTTGGACGACAAATTGGCCTTCGATCAACTAATTCAACTCTTTTCTTCTGTAGTTCTGTATCTGTAGGATTCACTAAACACGCGTATTATCTGTTGTGCGAAATTTGTTTTTGAAGGCAGCTTCAGATGTAAATGGAGAACATTGGATAAAATCCATTGATCATGTTAAAATGGTAGAAAATTAATTTTGGAAAGTGGATATATTGCAATGGAAAATGTAATAAACCCTATATTAATAAACAGACAATAATAATAATAATAATAATAATAATAATAATAATAATAATAATAATAATAATAATAATAATAATAATAATAATAATAATAATAATAATAATAATAATAATAATAATAATAATAATAATAATAATAATAATAATAATAATAATAATAATAATAATAATAATAATAATAATAATAATAATAATAATAATAATAATAATAATAATAATAATAATAATAATAATAATAATAATAATAATAATAATAATAATAATAATAATAATAATAATAATAATAATAATAATAATAATAATAATAATAATAATAATAATAATAATAATAATAATAATAATAATAATAATAATAATAATAATAATAATAATAATAATAATAATAATAATAATAATAATAATAATAATAATAATAATAATAATAATAATAATAATAATAATAATAATAATAATAATAATAATAATAATAATAATAATATAATAATAATAATAATAATAATAATAATATTAATAATAATAATAATAATAATAATAATAATAATAATAATAATAATAATAATAATAATAATAATAATTAATAATAATAATAATAATAATAATAATAATAATAATAATAATAATAATAATAATAATAATAATAATAATAATAATAATAATAATAATAATAATAATAATAATAATAATAATAATAATAATAATAATAATAATAATAATAATAATAATAATAATAATAATAATAATAATAATAATAATAATAATAATAATAATAATAATAATAATAATAATAATAATAATAATAATAATAATAATAATAATAATAATAATAATAATAATAATAATAATAATAATAATAATAATAATAATAATAATAATAATAATAATAATAATAATAATAATAATAATAATAATAATAATAATAATAATAATAATAATAATAATAATAATAATAATAATAATAATAATAATAATAATAATAATAATAAT